CCGTCAATTAATTATTAATGCAGGTGGTACTTATAGTTACCACTCCATGCAACCTCTTGATCCCTGAGCGTGATGTGGGATCCATATTAAAAGAAAATACATTGGAATTGTATGTGGGAATTTGTTTGAAGAATATACAGGGTGTCCCAAAAGTATATATGAATATTATAATACGCAGTTTTAATCTTATGTGTATAGCAACTTTTGGGACACTCTGTATATGCGTACACGCAGACACACACATAAATACACATTACTCTATGTTTATCTTTAGCCTCTGCATCACAGCACATTGCACTTTTTAGATAACGGGCAGAAGTATTATGAAGTGGACCGCCAAAACCCCTAGGAACTTTTGAAGTGGCCCAAGGAGGGGGGAGTTTGGGGAACACTGTTTTAGAGGAGTGACGTTTATCGGTGAACTGAACGCGTCTGCATTTGTGTCTTCTCGTAAAATGTGGTGTGGTGGAGACGCGAATGTTAATTTTGATAGGGGAACATTAAAGATGGGGGCCCTCCGCTTTAATCTCGTAATACTGCGTGACGAATAGTTTTAATTTTCGTCTGTGCGGTCTCTTAATAGCCTTCACAAGTCGCTCTTAATTGCCTCCCCAGCCCGTACCTTCGATGATGACGAAGGTCGAGCACTTGGAAAAAGTCTGCAGGCGATTTTCAACTGTTAACACAGCGTTCGAGAGTCTTTTAATAGTTCCGTCAGTCAAGTTCACGAACCTTCGCTGCCCTTTTTACTCCGTTGTTTCATTGGATGGGGGGGAGGGAGGCTCAGACTGCATTTCATCTTGTAATTAACCAAAAAATGCGTTTGATTCTTAATGATTGTAGAATGAAGAATACTAGGAAAGGCATCTACAGGAATTTTTCGTTTCTGTTCTTTAGTTTTATTTATTTTGTTTTCTGTTTTATAAAGTATTACAGATAAGCTATTAGTTGCTTAGGCAGTCTAAAAATTTGCCGTCGTTTATGGAAGAGCCCGCCAATGGACCATATCCGTGACCAGTTATGTCCGGTCCCACTATCAGATTCCATTTCTTCGAGATCCATTTTAATATTATGATTTCCCAGTGTAAATTATCGCAAGTAGAATTTGAGGCTCTGAAGGCGGCGAGTACGAAGATGACTGTCTTCTGAGTTGTAGCGCCGTGTATCTGGTAAAGAAGTTTCTGTTTTGAAGTCTTTTATATGTATTGTCAGCGTCTTTCTACTGTATCTGAGTGCTTGCGTATCCCAGGCTCTGGCACAATAGACCGTTCTCGTAATCGGAAAACATTATGCACGGCAGTGTCTCGCAGTCTTTCACGGTTGACAGCCGTCATCGACGTGAACGAGGTCACGGCGTGTTTCACTTGCCTCTAATTGAGGACCATTCAGAGTGCGGACTGCGTCTGGAAGAGTCCTTGAGAACCCAGTAGTTGCTTATCTAGTCAAAAGATCCCCTGCGTATTTTTTGGGGGGCCGTAAGTTTCACTATCGTGTTCGTAGCAAATCGCCTCTGGGCCCTTTCCTCAGCTGAATTTATCCAGTGTACACCCCTGCAATCCTATTTATTTAAGATCCATCGTATCCTGTCTGTTTTTATTTATTCTTTCCTTGATCGTCCTGATAATATTTATTGAAGTGTACAGATTATGGAGCTCGTCTTCTCCGTTGCAAATTCTCCCCTCGTCACTCTGTTCTTAACACAAGCCTCAATTTGGTAACGAAGTTTCTCGTTTATAAATTTATAATTATAATTTTTTTTTATATCTCAGCCTTCATTTCTTTAATGCCTTCTCGCAACTGAAAGCTATAAAAAAAATCACCTCTTTGCTTTGCCGTGTTTGTCATTCCAAATGTAATAATTCGAAGCAGCA